TAGGGCAGAGCCTCTGGTGTAGTAACTTGCCCTTGGTGCCAGGCCAGGCCTCTAAATCTAGATCCTGCAAATGAGACCCGTGAGCATCATCTTTAATTTTTTAAATTTCTTTTTTTGGGTCCGGTCATGGGGCCTGAACTCTGGGCCTGGGCACTGTCCCTCAGCTCTTCAGCTCAAAGCTAGCGCTCTACCACTTGAGCCACACTGCCACTTCCGGCTTTTTTCTTTTTGCTTATGTGGTGCTGAGGAATCGAACCCAGGGCCTTGAGCATGCAAGGCAAGTGCTCTACCACTGAGCCACCTTCCCAGCCCCAATTTTTTAAATTTTTGATGGCACTGGGGACTTGCTCTTTCTAGGCAAGGCATTCTCCTACCTGAGCCACACAGCAACTAACCTTTCTTTTGTCCTTTAGCTTATTGTTCAGATAGGGACTCATGCTATTGCCTAGCACAGGGCCTAAGACCACAGTCCTCCGGCCCATGACCTTCCAAATAGCTGAGTGTACAGGCATGCACCACTACACCCAGCTTGTCTTTTGAGACAGGGTCTGGGTTACTTTTCTTTCCCCAAGCTGGCCTCAAACTACAATCCTCCCATCTTCATTTCCTGAGTGGCTAACATTACAGGCATAGACTACCTTGCCCAGCTAGTAGCATTCATTGTCCATGGAATCTGCAGAGAACATATTCAAAGGAGATTTGAATAGCATGTGGCAAGTTGGTATGGCCCCCAGGGAGACACCCAGGCTCACTGAACTGTGGCCTTCTGTCCAGTGTACAGCCAGAGACAGTGCAGCCGAGGCCACACCACCTCCCAGATCTGCCCTGGGATGACAGCTCTCCATCATCCTGGTCACTGGGGCTGGCCTGTCCATTGGGCTCTGGCCTCTGCTGCACCTCCAGACACCTGGACATTGATGGAGTCATTGCACAGGGAGGGATGTGGGGCTGCTTGGCTTGGGCCGATGGGGCCGAGCTACCTGCCACCTCTGCTGGGGAGATGCAGGGTCATGAGCAACCTGGAAACATTTAAACCTGCCCAAACCACAGCACTATGCTGAGAACAACAATCTGTGAACTGCTTGGTGAATGGGCACAGCACGTGACCCCCAGCTTGTGTGGAGAAACTGGAGTGCAAATGTGTAGCACGCCCAAGGCCTTGTGCCTGTGAGATTTCTGAAGTGCTTGATCCGTGGGATCCCATCAAAGGACAGAGGAAGATTTGGCTAGTGACAGGAAGCACACAGCCTTTCCATGTTTAGGTGCTGGACACCTTTCCTGTGAACCAGGTCATCATTTGCCATCTGGAAATCGTGTTGTTTGGAAAATTAGAAGAAATACAAAGAAGAGCAAAATAACTTTCATCTTTGAATGCAGAAAGCCGACGGCAATGAGGCGTGTGTGATGAGGCGTGTGTGTGTGTGGCACTCCCTTTGGAATTAGTGTGTGCGTGTGATCTACTGTGGCCACTGTTCTTGCAATCAAAAATGTCATCATCAATCACTGAACACCGGCCTTTTGCAGGGGAGAAAATGATGAAACTATCCACAGAGACCTCTCCCTCTCCGGTGAATGAAAATGAAGCACTTTCTCTGACTGCTTTGCCTCTTATAAAACCTGTTTGTGACGAGAGGTGAAAAAAATTCTTGAAGTGTGTGTGTGTGTGTGTGTGTGTGTGTCTGTCTGTCTGTCTCTGAACTTTTTCACTCAAGGATAGCGCCCTACCAGTTGGAGCACAGTACCACTTCAAGTTTTCTGGTGGTTCATTGGAAATAAGAGTCTTATGGACTTTGCCTACCTGGGCTGGCTTTAAACCACAATCCTCAGATCTCAGCCTCCTGAGTAGGTGGGATTACAGGCATGAGCCACTGGCACCCAGCTAAAAGTCTTGAAATCTGAATTCAATTCATATGAAACCAGGCACTGGTGGCTCACATCTATAATCCTAGTCACTCAGGCAGGGCTCAATCACCTGGGATGGGAACTGGAAACACTTGCTTTCTCTGCTCTGCTTTCCTCTTGGTGTCGGCATTTGCTCATGCTCGGAACCCAGGCACTGATTCTGTTGGTGAGCTGGGCTGTGCCCCAAGCTCCATGTACCGTGCACATTTTCCCATTGCACTCTGGTTCCTGTGACCATCCTGAGATATGCAGGAACCCACTGTGGCTGTGGCCGCCAGCTCCCTATGAAGCTCCACATGTGAGCTCCATCCCCAGTGCTCTGGGAGCTGAGGCTGAGGGCTCTGGGACCTCAGAGGGGACCTTGTGACTCAGGCCTCTTCTGTGTTGCTTCCCAGCCCTGAGAGAGACATGGTTCTGCTCCTTCGCGTTCTGCTGGGGCACACCCTCACTACCACAGCTCCCCGCCCCCCCTCAGTGAACTGAAATCTGAGCCTTAGTTCTTGGAAAGTTGCTCTCTTGGGAACCGGTTGTAGTCACATAAGGCCAACTGCGTAGTCTTGCTCTTCTCACATCAACGATGACAGGAGACGGGGCACTGTGCGGCTGTATCACGCGTGAGAGGCCAGAGGCCAGGGGGTTTAACATTCTATCACTGCGCCTCAGCGTCACTGGTTTCCTTTGTGATCCTGAATACCCAGATGTATTCAGTTTTCAGAAGGGGGACGTGGATGTGTGGATTGCCACAGCGAGCACCCCCTCCCCACCCCGCCTTGCATAACTAACACGTCAATAGAAAATCTGCTGTACAACCACTGTTGTAAAGAAGTGGGGCTTTCTGGGAAGCTCTGGCACAAAGACTTCTCTCTGACTTTGGACAGGTAGATTCTGAAGGACTGCTAGGTGAGCCGGCTTCGAGGATGGGTCCAGAGGAAGCTCCCAGAACAGAACTCTGACTGGCACAAGGCTGAGGATTCTACCATAGAGGGATGGGTCTTCCTGCCCCAGGAGCAGGGGCTGTGGTGGGAAGGACACAGGGTTAGAAGCCCTTAGCTCCTCTTCTGTGACTTGGGAGTCCTGCCTCTCAGGCTGGGGCCCACTCTCCACTCATGTCCATTTCTGAGAGGAGATCTGGAATGTGTGCATGCTTGGGGACGGCTGACCTCATCGTGTCCTTCAACACTGTCCTGTGCACATGTCACTCTCCATTCTCTAGAACCTTCCATGGGCCAGGCTTCACTGGGTTCCCCTGGAGCAGTGCCTTGCCTGCCACTGTAGAAAAGGTGTGATGTCCTCGGGACACAGAGTTGTTCCCTGCTGTTGGTTCTGGCATTGATGGAGCTCAGCGGATGGGCGCCTCCTTCTCTCTGCTTCTCTGTATGGAGCCAGCCTCAGCTGGGGCAGTGACTGCAGTTCATAGGCAGGAAGTGGCGATCTGCAGTTGTTCACAGGGATCCCAAGCCCAGAAGATGAGCTGGTCACAGAGAGACCAGCCAAGACACAAAAGTATCAGAAAGAACTGCCTTAAAATGTTAAAGATGATCTCTTGCTATGAGCTCACCGCTGGGGCAGGTTTGTCAATGTGAGAGAGAGCCCAGAAAATGGGAGCTGGGTGGGGACCAGGAGCCGCCATTGTAAACCCTGCATCTGGGGCTCCCAGAGCTCTGGGAGAGAAACAGCAATGAATGGTGGCTGCGAGCAGCTCTAAGGCCGGGGGCTCTGGAAGGCTGCATCATTCAAGCCACAGTCTTCCTGGGTGGGTGCTAAAGGTGCAGCACATTGCAGTTTGAAATGGGGGGGGGCAGGGGAGAGGCGCATAGAGGCCTTGGGCACGTGGCTATGGTCCCAGAAAAACAAATCCTTAAATTTCAGTGGTTGATTGGCTGGTTGGTTGGTAGGTTTATTTGAGTTTCCAGGGCTGGGGTTTGTTATGCTGGCCAGGCAGGCACTGTACTGCTGAGCCATGCCTTCAGTCCCTTTTTGACTTGGTTATCTTATGTATATGTGTGTATGGTACCAGAGCTTGAACTCAGGACCCCATGCTCTCACACTTGGCTTTTTGACCAAAGGTTGGCACTCCACCACTTGAGCCACACTTAAACTTGTGACCTTTTGGTGGTCACAAGTTTGGAAATAAGAGTCTCAAGAACTTTCCTGCCTGGGCTGGCTTTGAACCATGATCCTCGGGTCTCAGCCTCCTGAGTAGCTGTGATGACAGGTGTGAGGTGAGGCTGGGTCCGCTTGATCCCCAGCTGTCTGCCAACTGGCAGTGGAGCCCCACGCCGCCCTGGGTCCAGAGTTGAGAAGCATGTTTGGAGCTGCGGCGGGAAATCCTGCTTCTCAGAAGCTGTGAGACACAAAGCCAATCGAGATGCGTTTCTGTGGGAGTTTGTGAGGACAGCTGCAGGGCCTCCCAGTTCAGAGGAAAAGGAGGCATTATGTACCTGAAGACACAGCCCACAGCCTGCAGGGGGAGGGGGGAGGGGGAGGGGGGCAGGAGAAGGAGGCGGGCCCGCTAGATGGCCCCTCCCAGAAGAGGCCACAGGACCCTGGGAGGAGCATCCTCCAGCCAGGAGCCCTGCTCTCACACCTGCTTGAACCTATAGACAAAAGGCTGAGTTCTGCTGCGCCTCCCACAGCCCAGGCCATTCTGTGTCATTCATCCCTGCGGTTGGCCAAGATGGGCTCAGCCACAAGGGAAGCCTCCTTACCAAGACCAGGCCACCAAACACGGTGGTTCATGCAGTTCCAGCCACGTGAGAGGAACAGGCCAGGGGAGCACAGTACCAAGTCAGCCTGGGCAAAAACATGAGATCCAATCAGAGATAGAGACAGAGGTGGAGATTGACAGGGAAGAGATGCATGGTCAGGCTAGGGAGGGAGCCGTGGGATTGGGGGTCCTGGAGCGGAACCCCTCCCCCGAGCCACCTGGGCAGCTGCGGCACTGCGGTAACAAGCAGCCCAGCACTCTCGGTGGAGGTGCATGGCAGACAGGGTTTCTCATGCACTGCCTTGGGTCAGCCATGGTTGTGGGGGAGGCTTGTCTCGGGGAGTACTGGTACTCTGGGGTCCCCTGGGATGACGGGCTCGCTGTACCCCAGGTGTGGCTGTGTGGGGGCAGCATGGAGGTGCTCCCCTGCTCGCGTGTGGCACACATCGAGCGGAAGAAGAAGCCGTACAACAGCAACATCGGCTTCTACACCAAGAGGAACGCGCTGCGAGTGGCCGAGGTGTGGATGGACGACTACAAGTCCCACGTGTACATCGCGTGGAACCTGCCACTGGAGGTAAGACCCCGCCCACTGCAGCCAGACACGGCCTGCCCCCTCTGCCACCCCACCCTCGCCCCGCCCCCACCCTGCCCCAGCCCCTCACCCACCCCTGCTCCTATCCTATGAGCTCTTCCCATAAGTTAGTGCTTCCCTCTCAGAAAGATATTTGTGTGGACAGTTCTGAATCCTCCCAGAAGGTTCCCAGAGGTCGAGGTAGCCCCCTGCTTTACACTGGCACAGGTGCAGGGCACGTACAGAGATCCGTGGGGTCTTGGTGATCCAGGTCCTTTGCCATTCGTTCACAGCCCCACTCCTAGACAGACATCCAGCCCAGATTTGGTCACCTGCCCCTCACCGGCTCTCACATGGGCCCCTGGAAGCCCAGCCGCCCTCCCACACACCCACACATGTCCCCCACATCCTCCTTCCCCCCAAAAGCTGAGGCCTGAGCTCGGAGAGGCCCATCCCTAGAGGCCCGCCACAGAGAACCCATGCAACAGGACAGCTCCTGGATGCCTGCTAGGAGCCCCAGGCTGCTGCGGCAGGGCTCGTTGGGAGAGTGCCTGCCCAGCACAGCTGTGACCCTGAGATCCAGCCCCAGTGTACCCACAGAAGGAATCTCAGCTCTCTCTTCCATGCTGTTCTTGTGTCTTTGTCAAACACATCTCTTATCTATGTGCATTTCCTCAGCTTTCAAACTGTCTTATCTATGTGCATTTCCTCAGCTTTGGGGGTGGTGGTAGTAAGCAACAAGTCCTTAGCCTCACAAGGGCTCCAGGCAGGGCCAGGCACAGGGCACAGGGTACAGGGCCCTCCTCCTTCTCCATGGCATGGGGCGGGGAAGGGGGGCTGCACCTGCAGCCTCTGGGGGTTTCCCATCCTTCCAGAGCAGTCACTTATCCAAGCCAGTATCCTGGGATCGTTCCTGGGCGGGTTCCCAGCAGGAGGCTGGGGTGCCCCAGCCCAGCGCAGCGGAAACACTTTCAAATGTGAAGTTTACGTGAGAAGACAGTTTGGAGGACATGGGTCACTGTTAAGACTTGTGAAATAGGTTCTGAAGAACTGAGATCCGGTGAGGCATGCCTGTAATCCCAGCGTTCCGGAGCTCTAGTCTAGCTGGGTTATTCAGCACTTTTGAGGCTTCTGGGGCTGCATAGGGAAACCCTATCTCATGAAAATAGAAAGAAGGAACATGAACTGAAAATGGCTTCCGGATAGTCTGTCCTGAGCTGTACTTGGACACTTTGTTACCACATAATGAAAGGTAGCAGTTTGCTGACCCCGAAGTTCCTTCTTTCCATTATCTCATTTGATTCTGTTCCAGCAACATAAAGTGAGAATTGGTGTTTCATTTAATTTTATTCATGATGCTTACACCTGTTTGACCTTTTTTTTTTTACTATGCATGCACAGCACATCTTTATAAAATTTAATTTATACCTGGGACCCAGTAAGTCATAACAATTAGTCATAAAATAGAACAGTTCTAACAGTAAACTATAGTGAACCTTACTTAAAATTTACAGATTCTTTCTAGGATAAATTTAATATGGTACCACAGTTTGAACTTGGAGTCCTTGAGCTCTCACTTGGCTTTCTTCCATCTGGGAGCTAATTCTGCCATTTGAGCCATGCCTTCAGCCTAGATTTTTACTGGTTGGTTGAAGATCATTTTTAGTTGAAGATGTTTTGGGCTGGATTCAAACTGTGATCCTCCAGATCTCAGCCTCCTGATAGCTAGGAGTAGAAGCATGAGGTCCTTTCATACTTGGAGCCACGTTTGGTTGTGAAGAACTAAAGCTGCCACAAAGAAGCCACAGGCAGTAGGGGCCTTGCATTTGTTGCTGGTCCCCTGGGCTCTGCCACACATTTTAGGGATGACCATGTCCACTCATCGTGCTAATTATGGTTGAGCGAAGAGTGAAGTACTGCTTTTGAGAAGCCTATCTTATGGCCCAGACAGTGAGCTGTGTCTAGGTGCTGCTTCCCATCCCAGCTTCATTTCTGCAAAAGCAGAGTGAATTATTCATTAGAGCACCATTACAAGCTCTGCGATGGGAAATTATTTTCCTTTCTGCATATAATGAACTCCACAACGAGTTGGCAAAGGGGGAAATTGCATATGGATGGGAAAGGAAGACGGGAGGTTATAGCATTGATTTTTCTTGTCTTAATCAAATAATTCCTCTAATAATTGGCTTCGATGGCTGCCAAGGAGAGTGGGAGAGAGCTGGGGATGTGGGTAACTCCAGCAGGTCTCAAAACTCCTGTGCAAGCCAGGGGCACCTGGAAAGAGGTCGCGGCCTCCTTTGCCCCCAGTCCCCCTGGGACCTCCAGCCATCCTGTGTCCCCAGCCCCCCCCCCCGCACCCCATGCTCCCTGGACCTCCCCATGCCCCACAGTCCTTCCATGCTCCTACCCCCTCCCTGTGTTCCCTGTGCCCAGCCAGCCCCATCGTCCGTCCATCTGTCCGTCCTGATGCCCCTCCACCTCTCTGTATCTAGAACCCAGGGATCGACATAGGCGATGTTTCAGAGAGAAGAGCTTTGCGGAAAAGCTTGAAGTGTAAGAGTTTCCAGTGGTACCTGGACCACGTCTACCCCGAGATGAGAAGATACAACAACACCGTGGCCTACGGGGAGGTAACATGGGCCTAGCCCCTCGGGGTGTGGAGTCTGCCTCCTGCCCTCCCTCCCTGCTTTCCTTCTCTCCCTTCCTCCCTGCCTCCCTCCCTCCCTCCCCTCTTCTTCCCTCCTTCCCTTCCTTTCCTTCCACTGTCACTCCTTTCTTCTCTCTCCCTCTCTCCCTTCTCTCTCTTCTCTTTTCCTTGGCTCCATCCCTGCCTCCCTTCCCTTCCTCCTTCCCTCCCTGCCTCCCTTCCCTTCCTTTTTCTCCTCCCCTGCCTTCCTTCCTTGGCTTCCCTCCCTCCCTGCCTCCTTCCCTCCCTGCCTTCATTCTCTTCCTCCCTTCCTTCCCTCCCTCCCTCTCTTCCCTTTCTCCCTTCCCTTCTCCTTCCTTTCCTTCCACCTTTCCACTTTTTCTCTCTTTCTTCAGCTCCCCCTCCCTCTCTCTTTTCTCTTTTCCTTGCCTCTCTCCCTCTCTCCTCTGGAGAGCTGGCTAGGGGTGAGCAGCAAGCCAGTGGTGACAGGTGCAGCTGCTGTCTGTGGCTGAGGGTGTGGGTGAGCTGCCATGAAGACCCCTGGGGCGGGGCGGGGGGCAGGAAGCGGAGTGTGAAGAGGGGGAGGGGCGCAGAGAACCCCAGACCCCGGCACAGTCCAGCGCCTGGATGGACCAGAGCCCTGCACTTGCTGCACACCTGTGAGAGTCTACCAGTCCTCACTCCCCACAGGCCCTCACTCCTAACTCCCCTCTCTGTTCTTCAAAACCAAATGTAGTATTTGTTTGTTTTAAAAATTATCAAAGTAAGACCAAATATAAAGGAGTCACAAACACCACAGGCAGGGAGGACTCTTCCTGAAACAATTGGGCAGATAGCCTCACTTTCTAGGAAGCAAACCCATTCCAATGCTTCTCAGCCACATGTCAGGTAGACAGCCAGGGAGAAGAGGAGAGGGGAGGGCTCTGAGCTCTGAGGGGAGGGCTTAGCAAGGCCCTGCCAGGGGAGAGAGCAGCAGAGCTGGGCTGCAGTGGGTCAGCAGCCCTGCCCCTGCCTGCGCTGGCCCGGGAAACAATGCAGTAGCAATCCAGGGCCTCCAGGCTGCAAATCCTCACAGACGAGCGGACCAGCCACTAATGTGCAATGAGTTCTGCACACTGACGGCAATTTGAAAAAATCGATTGAAATCACAAAATGAAACACTTCCCAGAGAAAAATAGAGCAAATGCAAGGAGGGCGTGAGACGCAAGAGGAACGTACAAATGGCTTACGTCTCAAGGAACGTTTAATTTCCTTCATCCTAAGAGAGCATGAGCTACTCTTTCACCCCAAGAAGAAGCGTTCCTTGTTGGGAGGGATAAAGTCATAAAGCCTGGCCTGGGGCCAGCGCCGGTGCTGTCCCTGTCCTGTCCCTGCCAGGCCTGGTGATGTGAAAGGTCCCACACCTCCTGGGGAGACTGCAGATTGAAACACGCTTTTTAGAAAGCAATTCCCAGCAATGTGTGTGGTTTTTTAAGCCAGGAATTTGAACAAGGGATGGAGAATTGATAGCAAATTTGTTCATCTAGGTGCTATTTGTTTTCTTGGAGCAAAAATATTGAATTTAACTTGAAGCTTAGTTAACCACATCACCGTGCTAGTTTCAACCATCTTGCAGCCCCTGCAAACACTGAGAGCAGTGGTTCAATAACCCGCAGGAAAGGCGGCTTCTAGAGGAAGAGACCAGGGCGTGGCGGGGGCGGGGGCGGTGCCACGAGGCTCTGCGTGGGCCACGGTACACAGGCTCTGACGGGCAACCCTGTGGCCTCCTTTGTAGCTGCGAAACAACAAGGCAAAAGATGTCTGCCTGGACCAGGGTCCCTTGGAGAATCACACGGCCATCCTGTACCCGTGCCACGGATGGGGGCCACAGGTAGGGCTCCCCTCGTCCCAGGAGGAGCTGTGTCCGTCCTCAGAGCCTTGTGGGTCTATTGGGAACTGTCAGGGCCCTTCCTCCACTTCCCTCCTTGTTCCCTGGCCTGTGGTCTTAAGAAGGTGGGGCCTGGGCACAGTGGCTCACACCTGAGAGACAGAGATCTGGAGGATGGTGGTTCAAGGCCAACCCAGGCACAAGAAGGAGACCTTATCTAAAAAAGAAAAAGAAAAAGGTAGGCAGAAAGGACTCGGGTGGGTTTAATGGTTTAGGGCCTACCTAAAAGGGACGGACGCCTTTGGTTGTTTCTGTAAAGAAGCCCAGGGGAGGTTTGTAATTGTGAGGTTGCATTTGTGGGAAAGTGCAAAGGCCCTGTGGAGCGTTCTACATATACACACAAGATGCTCTGTGTGCGCTCACCACAGCCACACCTCGGAGGAAGCATAGGTGGTGTCCAGTGCACCCGCCCTGGCGCCTCACTGGGTGGCTCTCCCGACCCAGGTGGCCAGCGCTGCTACCAGCAAAGATCCAGGAGAGGACAAGGCTGAGGTTCGCAGGAGCTTGAGAAGGATACATGGAGGAGCCAGCAGGAGAAGCTAGAGCCCCTTGAGTGAATTCTGCCTGGTTGCTCTGTGGAAGCCAGCTGTGTGTGTGTGTGTGTCTCTGTGTGTGTGTGTGTGTGTGTGTGTGTGTGTGTGTGTTCATAAACTCCCTAAGACTGGGTTAAAAAAAATTAAGTCAGAGGAGCTCTGAACATCTCATCCAAGTCAGGCTCAGAGAATCTGCCTCTAGTTAATCAGCAAAAAGCAGGGATAAGAATATGGTTCAAGTGGTAGAGCACCAGCTGTGAGCAAAGCACGCAGAGGGGCAGAGTGGAGAAGTACCTTTTGCTGGTTTCTCTGATGGGGGAAGGGGTTAAAGCCATTCCGGAAGTTAGCAGCCAGACACCAGAACCTGAAGGAGCTGGGGCCATTTGTGTTTCCCCAGGACTCCCCCCCATCACTACCCCTCCAGGCAACCGGGCCCCAGGGACCCCATCCCTCATGGGACCTGCAGGTGTCAGCACCATGCTGGGAAATTCCTCCTGCCTGGAAATAACTAGAATTCATCTTTCCCAGCCCCACCCACACCCAATGTTCCTGCCTCATCATTGATTATGGAACACCAAATCGGACAGTGCCCCCCATGATCCCTCCCGTGGGCTGGTTTCCTTCTATGAGCTGGTTTCTGTCCTGATCCGTGTCTAGCTCATCAAGCTCCCCTAAGCCCAGAGCCCTGCTCGCCTATGCCCTGCTTGCCCCCCAGGCCTGTGCCTTTCTCCCCCTGCCTATACCCTGCTCCCCACACACACCTGTGCCCTGCTCCCCTCTACCTGTGCCCTGCTCCCCACACACACCCGGGGCCTGCTCCCCACACCTGTGCCCTGCTCCCCACACACACCTGTGCCCTGCTCCCCACACACACCTGTGCCCTGCTCCCCACACCTGTGCCCTGCTCACACCTGTGCCCTGCTCCCCGCCCCACACACACACCTGTGCCCTGGCACCTTCCTAACAGCTTTGGAGTCACTGTTGTAGGCAAAGACTGAATCGTGGCTCCTGTAAGCAGACAAGGGTCCACGGTGGTCATCATCATTAGCTTAATTAATGGACTGTGTTGTAATTGATTATCAGGGAGCAATTAAGCAGGCATTGAGGAGGGCGGTTCCCAGGCTGGAAACCTGTGTTTATCAACAAGATAGACATAGTCATCCACCAATCACAGAGCCTGCTTGCTCCAAGGGCCTTTTAGCACGCTTCTAACTTGTCTGACTTGAGTTGACAAGCAGCCCCTTCTTCCTCGATGCCTGGTGTCGGTGGTTCATTCCTGCCATCCAGAAACTCACAAGGCTGCGACAGACGGATTGTGTTTCAAACCAGCCCAGGCAGGCAAGTCCATGAGACTCTCATTTACAGCTAAACACCCAAAAGCCAGAAGTGGAGTTGTGGCTCAAGTGGTAGGAGTACCAGCCTTGAGCAAAAGTTGCTCAGGAATAGCGGCTAGGCCCTGAGTTCAAGCCCCAGTACACAGGACACAGCAGCACCTCTCGGTGTCAGCTTGGACCCAGTGGCTTGAGGGGACTAGTGCCACAGGCCTGGCCACCGTCCCAGGCTCTCCCCTCCCTGGGATCACCCAGGGCAGCCCACTGGAGAGCCACAGGGCAGCCCTGGGAAGCTGCCAGGCCTTCCTGCAGCCCAGCTGCTCCCCAACACAGCCCCGAGCCCCCCCTCAGGGGCAAAGGTTGGGGAGACCCGCGGTGGACACTGCCCCAGGCCCAAGGGATTTTGGAAGTGTCTTTCTCCATAAAGCCCACAGGCTTCGGCTCCTGGGCCACTGTCCATGGTGCTGATGGGTGGCATGGGGCAGTGTGGCCATATTCAGCAAGGCCTTTCACCTCCAGTGCTGTGCGCTGCTGCTGTCCCCAGACACTGAGACTAGGCCCAGCAGCCCCAGATGTCTAGCGGGAGCTCTTCCTGAATTCTGCTGAGTTGGGGGTGGGGGTGGGGAGCCGCCACTGTTCAGGCACAGTGCGTGCTGAGGGGGCTTGGACAGCACTGAGGGGGAGGTCACGTGAGGGGGCCTTGGGCAGCACAGGGGGGCACAGTGTGTGAAGGGGTTCTGGGACAGTGCTGGGGGTGAGGACAGCATGGCGGGGGGGCTGGGGCAGCACGCGGGGGCACAGCACAAAGGGTTCTGGAACAGCATGAGGGGCGGGGACAGTGCAAGAGGGAACAGCGTGGAGGGGGGCTGGGGCAGCTCGAAGGAGGACATTGTGGAGGGGTTCTGGGACAGCGGGGGGGGTAGGGCAGCAAGGCTGTGGCAGTGGGGGGGGGACCAGGACAGTACTTTTCTCACACCCTTCCCCTCTTGCTCTCTTGTCCCTTCCCCGTCCCCTTGTGTTTTATAAACATGGGGTTCAGGTATGTCACTAGACTTGCCTTGACCTGTGGGTTCCGGGGATGCCCTAGGTCCATGTGTTACTGCGCCTGGCTTTAGTCATTTTACAAGTCTTGACAAACACCTGTGATCAAGCAATCTCATGTCAGTCGAGCTACAGACTGGTTCTGTCACCCCAAAGTCCCGCTGCGCTCCTTTCATTGCTCAGCGCGCTCTCTCCTCACCCAGAGCCTCTGTGGCCCAGGCTAGCCTCGAACTAACAACCCTCCCCCCTCAGCCTCTTGCACACTGGTGTTCAGGGGTGCCCCACTCCTATGTCCTTGTATACTTTACGTTCATCAGCTCTAGGCCTCCGTCAGCGGGCGTGCACCCCACCCGTGCCGGTGTGAATAGACACTCAGTGGCCTGTGGGTGGGACTTCCTCCTTCCCTCCCTGACCAAACCGCCGCTCTAGTCACCCTGAGTACACATGGCAGGCGAGCCCTGAGGGGAGGCCGCTGGTGCTGATTGAGGGGGGTCAGGCCCTGTCCGAAGGCCACCCAGCGGGGTGAGAGGGGGTGGCGGGCCGCTCCGCTCAGTCCAGATTCTCCATCAGCGCATCTCACCCTGCCCCTCCTCCTCTTCCTGGAGGCTCCAGTCCCTCTGTCAGTTCATCCATCACCCGGATGACAGATGAGAATTCTTTTTATCCCATAATTAAATTTAATCTGATGTTGGGCTCGTTCTGTGATGGCTTCATCTTCCCAGCGATGCGTCATCTGAGCACCTTGTCACCATGATGCATTGTGCCAATAAGACACGGCAGCCCGGATGGAATGACAGGCCAGGGTGAGCCGCAGGCACGGAAGAGGCAGAGCCAGGCACGTGCCGTTGGCGTGCGGCAGCCTCCTGGCTTCCAGTGCCGTCCTGTGCGTGCCGGGTTCCAGGAGGGAGATGGAGCCACCAAGAGCACAGCAGAGGACTGAGCACAGTGGCCCATACCTGTAACCCTCGCTGTGAGGGAGGCCGAGATCAGGAGGATCATAGTTCAAGGCCAGGAAACACACGAAGAAGGCCTCATTGCAACCAGTGAAAAGCTAGATGCAAACCAAGTGCTGGTGGCTCACCCCTGTAATCCCAGTGGCTCAGGAGGCCAACAGCTGAGGATCAGAGTTCAAAGCCAGCCTGGTACAGAAATGCCCATGAAAAAGCCGGAAGTAGAGGTGGCTCATGTGGTAGAGCACCAACCAGCCTCAAGTGAAAAAGTTAAGCAAGAGTGTGAGGCCCTAGGTCTGTGCCCCAATACAGGTTAAAAAAAAAAGGAGTGCAGTGCCTGACACTGCCATCCAAACCATCCAGGAAGTGTGGATAGGAGGAACGAGGTTCCGGCCAGCCTGGGCACAAGCATGAGACCCTCTTGAGTCAAAAAATAACTGCAGCAAGAAGCACTGAGGACGTGGTGCATATGTGTGCATCAAGAGCACCCTGAGTGCAGCACCTAGGGAAGTGGCTGTGGCCCCGGAGACAGGTCCCAGCGGGGAGGAAGCCTGCCCAGCTCCCCCCACCACAGGGCTTAGAGGCCTGGGTCGTGTGGAGATGGCAGGCCTGAGGAAACCTCCTCTTGCCCCTGGCGGACCCCAGCATGTGGGCAGACCGGAAGCGCTGCTCTGCAGGCTGAGATCCCGACACAGACCCCTCCCCTTTCCCCTTCCCTCACCACGTGGTTCTGCCCTGCGTGCATGCTGCCTCACTGCAGGTAGTGGGATGTTAAGAGCTTTCTTTCCTTGCTTTTCTGACTCATCTCCTCTCAAAATATCCCAAATGTGTCTGACTTTACAACCTGCCTCCTCCTCCTCCTCCTCCTCCCCCCTCGTGGGAGGGGCTTCCGCCACTGCCTTCCCTGGTGCATGGGGGTCACTTCCTGGAGTCCCACTTTCCTCTGGTCACACCTGGCCCTGGGGGGGGGTGTCCCCCACATGGAAAGCAACGCATGCTTTCCTAATTAATGCACTCTCAGTACCAGGCTTGTTCCGCCCCGCCAGAGCCCTGCAGAAAGCTTTCCAGCTCCTCAGAGGTTTGGTCAC